GCCATAATAATTCGAAATCGGAGAACAAATAACAAAGAATAAGAAAAAAGGAGACACAAAACATAAAAAGCAAAATAGAAATCAAACGAAACAAATAAATTAGAGAGGAAAACAATTCGGAACCACAAACCCAAAGTCATACATTGCAATTCGGAGGAGAATAATCCAACGGGAAAAGTAGTAAAAGAGAAGAAAAAGGATTCAAAACCATAAACCCAAGGGCATACATTGCAATTCGGAGGGAGAACAATCCAAGAGGAAAAGTAATAAATGAGAAGAAAAAGGATGGCTTCACATCAAGAGAGACAACAAAGCTAATGATGTAAAGATCGACAAAATAACAAATCCTAAAAAAAGCGAGAGAGAAAAAAATGAAGGTCGCAAAGAGCAATGTGGATGGGTCTCAATGAAAAAGCAATAATAAAGAAGTCCAATCAAGCAAGGGAAAGAGAAGCTAGTCGCTAGAAAAAAGTGACCCATCGCCATCTATAGATAAAAAATCTCAAATACCAACCCTTGGATCAACCGACATGCATAAGCTCTTAAACTATATTTTTTACTACTTTCAATTCTCATGGAGATACATCGACGACTACAACAATATGGCCTTTCTCTATTTATTTATTATATCTCTCCTTTTTTATGTGGTAAATTCGGTTTAATTATGAATATTACTCTTAAACTTGGAATTTGGGTTATTCTTATTAATATTGAGCCAAGGTTTCATATGAATAGTAGAATTGAATTTTAGATAAGGTTTCATATGTATAATCGAGTTGGTATTTTTGTTTACTATTAATAATTTTGGTTTTCGTTTGATATTTAGTGGATGGTATTCATCGGTATTCCGTGTTTAGAATTTTCTTTTAGGAATAATTTATAATAGCCACTAAAATCCTTCAAATTGATTAGACCAATGCTAGGATAAAGAGGAAACCACAAAAAAGAATCATAAATGGGTTTATTTGATATGGATAAATAGAGCTAAGTAATTGTTTAATGGAGGAACAACACTAGCTTGCATGAGGGATAAAAAATCACAAGATGAATAATAAAAATTACAACTTTTTTAATGAATATAAAAAATAAAAATAGATAACATTTATTGAGATGTTTGCATAAATAAGAGGTTTAATTAATATGGATAATCATACCATGAGGCAAAAAAAAAAAAAAAAATCGAACCATAAAAATTACAATTGCTTAAACAAACAAAATACACACAATAGTCAATCTCGCCATACACTTAATAGGTGAAGGGTCAAAGCAACGATAGGAGTGTCGAAAAAGAAAAAGAAAGAAAAAACACAACTCTTCATGTTGTTTGGAAGCAGGAGCAATGCCAACCTTAAACTCTAAAATAAAATAATACAAACTAGTAATATACGGAATGCAAATGAGAAAGCCAAAAATAGTATGAGATAAAGCCAACCTAGATAAAAAGGAAGGATTCGAGAGGCATACATGATAAAGGAGAAAAAGATAAAAAGAAATAACAAATAACGGATACAAAAGAAGGGGCATCGATAGAAATCAAGAAAGAGAGAAAAAAACTTAAAATATAAGTTAGAGTTTGGGAGAAATAAAAAGACATAAACAAAGCAAAACCCAAAGCGAATTAAAATTAAAAAAAAAATCTAAAATGAAACAAAAATGACAAACCATTCAAGCAAAATTAACAAAGAATGGATGCGAACCTCAATCGAAAAGAAACAACATAGAAGTAAAATACGAGTACAGATATAACCTAATTGCGGTAAAAGAGTGATGAAGAAGAAAACAATAAAAAAACAACTAGAACAACAACAATAATTGATCGTAATAATTCGAAATCAAATAACAACCAACAAAGAAGAAGAAAACAAGGAGACACAAAACATTAAAAGCAAAACAGAAATCAAACAAAGCAAATAAATTAGAGAGGAAAAACTTTTAGACCACAAACCCAAGGACATACATTGCAACTTAGAGGGAGAACAATCCAAGAGGAGAAGCAATGAAAAAGGAAAAAAAAAAAAGGATGACTTCACATCAAGAGAGGCAATAAAGCTAATGATGAAAGCACTAAAAAAATAACAAATCCCAAAGAAAGCGAGAGGAAAAAAATGAAGGTTGTAGAGTGCAACGTGATGCTTTCGTATAAAAAAGCAACAACAAAGAAATCCAATCAGGCAAGGGAAGACAAAAAAAAGAAAATAAATAAGAGACCAACAAAAGGAATTAGAAAAGGGAAAGTAAACCCATCTAATTGCAACCAAATTGAAACTTTTCCTTAATTAGTCACTTGTCCCACCATTATTGATTCAATTCTAAAGATGTAGAAAGCATTACCTTACCAAGCCACCCACTATAGAAGCCAATTGCCAAAAAGAAGCGACCTACTGTCATCTTTGGAGAAGAAATCTCAAAGACCAATCCTTGGATCAAACAACATGCATTAGCTCATAGCTAAGAAAGAAAAGCCTTCTAGTCAGGTTAACAAAATGAATAAAAAAAAACCCTAACCACAAACAAATAGCTGGGGCTGGAAATATGTGAAAGCACTTATGAAGTACTGCAAATGGAAGTACTAAAAAGGAAAAAAATAAAAAAGAAAGAGAAGCCAAGAAGCACCAACATGAAGCATTAAATGCTCCTTAAGAAAATAAGGCAACTCTAAGACATAACATTAAATGCTAATCAAGAAAAAAACCAATTGAAAAAAATGCCATAAATGTAAGGCAAGAAAGACGAGGCAAAAAAAGACAGAAATGTAACTTGATAGGAGGATAAAATAGCATTCAAGCAATTAAACAAACAACCAAAGGGCAAAAATAAACAATGTAAAACAAAGTTAGTGACAATATTAACAAATGAAAGAAAATGGAATAATGGATGGAAATAAACGACAAGTAGAGAGGCAAGGAGAGATTGCAAGAAACAGACAGCTGAAATAAGGAAAATGTAGGAGAACAATGTGCCACAGTCACAATCTATGATTGAATAAGGAAAATATAGGAGAACAATGTGCCACAATCATTGTCTATGATTGAATTGGATGAGAATGAACAACGATTAAATAGTAAAACCATCATCTATTTAAATTTCTTTTATAATAGATGAACACATGAATGCTCATGCAGATAATGATTTTTGCAAAATAAAGCAAGTAAATGAAAGTTGAAAACCATCTTTTGAGAATAAGTATATATGCTTCCTATATTATTATGGATGGAAATTTCTTGCTAATCAGACTTCAAGAAATATCTCGCTGCCTGGTACGTGATAGGCTTGTATGAAGTGACTCTACGTGGAAGTTAAAAAAGTAACATCGTTTTTCTTTTCTAAACATCATATCTCTCTTTTTCCATATAGAAACAAAATTCATTTTTTCTTCTTACAAATAAACCATTGTTACTTAATTAAACCAGCTCCTTTCCAACCTAATCATTCAACAGCACAATCCAAAATCTATATTTTTAACTATTTTTAATTTTCACGTAGATACATCGACGTATACAACAATATAACCTTTCTCTAATTATTAGTATTTTATTTTTATTTATCACCTCTCCTTTTTTACATGGTAAATTCAGTTTATGAATATTACTCTTAAACTTAAAATTTGGGTTGTTCTTATTAGCATTGAGTTGAGGTTTCGTATGAATAGTAGAATTGAATTTTAGATAAGGTCTCATATATATATATATAGTAAAATTGGTATTTTTGATTTTTTTTTTAATAATTTTGGACTTCGTTTGATATTTAGTGGATGATCTTCCTTAATATTCCATATTTAAAATTTGCTTTTGTGAATAATTTATAGCAACAACTGAAATCCTTCAAATTGATTAGACTAAATGCCAGGATGCAAGGAATTCATTTAAAGTTAAGGCATATAGCCAAAAAAAAAAAAAAAAAAAAAGGGGGAAAAAGTAACAGTAAACGGCGTTCCTTCCATTCAAAGTCAGCCTTTGCGTGGCTTTATACTTTTTGTATTATTATTTAGAATTTGCAATTTCCAAAAGTCAAATGAACCAATAAAACGAGAAAGTTTGATTGCAAATAGACTTCCTCTTCATACAAAAGCAAAGGACCAATCAAAAGTATGACTGCTTGGCCAAAATATAATTCGAAATTAGTTTTTTCAGGCTGGGCCTGATCCCCAACCAAGTTTAATGGGCAAGGTTGGATCGAGGCCTGGTACCTATAACAAATGCTTCCATATTTCTTTGCCCAATCCAATCCGAACTCGATCTTTAATCAAATAATTAAATTCATTTCTATGGTTATACGAAGAATCTACTTTTGGAAAATTGCAAGCACAAATGATTTATTTATTTATTTATTTTTGAACTTTCAAGCACTCATAATTCAATTCATCGACTAATTTTTAGTTTCGTAATTTTGTTGTTGTCACATTTTCCATAAGCTATTTTGCTCTCTAATCAGTCAAACACAATATCACTGTAAACTTAAAAAGAAGAAGATAATATTCCTTAATGAAATGGTAGCCTACTTAAATCCACGAGGTCTTGTTCCTTTATCAGACCAAAAATCCCAATTAAAATTAACACACACTAGCACCATATCCACATCACCACCACCCGCTCCCCCACGCGAAGCAATCGTTTTACTCTGACCAACCATTTTCTCCCACGTGTCTCTCATCGGGGGTCCACATCAAACGTGCCGGCACCGAATATTCAAATACCCACCAGATAGCAAACACCAACTCACACACCATCATTACATCTACAGTTACATTTACCTTCTCTCTCTCTCTCGCTCTCTCTAAAATCATCAAAATAATTCTCTTAATTCACGCCGTGTTATTAGCTTCTCGTCTTTTCGCTAACCTTAATCGATTCTTATTCCTGTATCCAAACAAGCCGCTTCTCATCCCTCTCTTGGAAAGGTTCCCTCTTTATCTGTCGACAAAGTGTTGGTTGGGGTTAGGGATTTTCGATCCATAGCTCGATTAAATTTTAATTTAATCGAATTAAAATAATACAACAACTATGAGCTTTCAAGATCTGGAGGCAGGACGACCCTTGGCATCTTCAAGGAGAGAGTTGATCAACGGGAAACAAGATGCCACGCAAGCGGTTGCTTCTGGAATCTTCCAGATCAATACTGCCGTTTCCACTTTTCAGCGTCTTGTTAATACCCTCGGGACTCCGAAAGACACGCCTGAGCTCCGGGAGAAGCTGTAAGTTTATTTTATTTTCTTGCCGTTTTGAGCTTCTCTGTTTGTCGTTTTGATTAAATATCGAGAATTATGGTTGATTTTTCTTAATTATTGAGAATTGAATTATTGAAATTGTGGAAATGTATAATTTTGTTGGTTGGATAGTATTATTGAAGTGGTTTTTTATTGCGTTTCCAGAGCTGAAATGAAATCATAGGTTTGGTTGTCAGGAGTTAGACAAAGTGGTCGTACTTGAGAATGATCTGAGAATGAATAGAATTAGAAATCTATTTTCTAACAATATATTAGAAGAAGATTGCTGCACTACATTGTAGTTACACTATTCGTTTTCTAACAATTTTACCAACATTTATCTACTACCGTATGTGGAATGTATCAAATAGGAATTACTTATCATAAATTGATACATTACGCAGAGAAGAAAATTCAGCATGATTGTCATTAACTCTAGCAGTACTCAGAAAAAGTTTTGAGAAATGATAATAACCACAATCGTGGTTGTCGCGATTGCCTAATCTGGGCTGTTCATGAGAGATGCTTGTGTGTAAATGTGCGGGGCCAATTGCATGTTTCTCACATGCATGTCCCAGATAGCATTGTTGCAAGCCCTTGATTGTGCTTAGCTGCTAGCTATGCTAAAAATCTATATCGTGGCAGTTAAGTGGAACTTTTTTCGGTTTTTCAGAATCCATTTACAACTAATAAACAATTGGTGTTAAAAGTGTTTGGGACTGTTTCCCAATTTATATTCATGCTGAAAAAGGCACTCCTTTCAGCTTGCCTCTTAATGGTTTGCTAGTCTAGTTTTGCACATTAATCATCATGTTGAAGTCTGATTGAAGTTTCATCTCTTAAATCTGTCTGTATTCAGTAGCCAAGAGATACTTAAGTGATTAGAAAGAACATGGGGTACACACGAGTTGGACTCTGTCAGTAATTAATATCTTTGCAGCCAAGTTTGAGGCTACTCTTATGACTCATTGGACAAAAAAAAATTTCACTATTATATCATGAGAACTTCTCACATAAATTTTAGTTAGGATATAATTATACAGACCAATTTTGGTTTTTTTTTTCCAAAAAACTTTCGACAGTAGTATTTGCTTTCTTGCTCAGAACATTAAAGTATGTGTGAGATGTCCATAATAATCTATTGTTCAAAGAAGAATGCCAGAATTCAGAATGTGTTGTACTTGAAATCCTCACTAGTCAATATCTTGTCGGTGGCTAGCTGTTCCTCTCTCCCCTTCTTTATCTTATTGAATGGTGTCAGCGAAGTACCTGTGTAATGAAACTCCATTTTGAGTTGTCATTGTACTGATTTTCTTGCATGACAGGCGTAAAACAAGGCTACATATTGGGCAATTGGTGAAGGATACTTCAGCCAGACTTAAACAAGCTAGTGAAACAGATCATTATGCTGGAGTCAGTGTATGTTTGATTCCTGTTCTTTATCATATGCATTAATGAGTACTTTTCCAGAGACCCCTCAGATTCAGTGATTTCTCAAGATCCTATAGAATCATTGCAATTTCATCCCCTGAATTGTTCACCTTTCTTTTCCGGTCAGATATGTTTTTCAACCTTAATGTGCTAGACAGCTAATATTTTGATTCCCCCTTTTTTCTTGTTTTAATTGCAGCAAAGCAAAAAGATTGCTGATGCTAAATTAGCAAAAGATTTTCAAGCCGTTTTGAAAGAATTTCAGAAGGCTCAGCGGCTTGCTGCTGAGAGGGAAACTGCATATACTCCTTTTGTTCCCCAAGCAGTCCTTCCTTCCAGGTGATTGTCTTAGGGGACCTTAATAGTTATTTTGTGGGATTTGAGATTTCCTGTTTGTTTCTTTGCTATAACCAACTGTTTGTTTGATTAAATGCTGTGTGATATTTATATATTCTTCTAACATTTTGTATTTATTCATGCACCGTTCAGCTACACAGCCAGCGAGGTAGATGTGAGTTCAGATAAAAATCTAGAACAGCGGGCTGTCCTTGTGGAGTCGAGAAGGTGAGATCTGCTCACTAGCATAGGCTACTTGTAACCTTTTCATTCTTTTGTCCTAACTGTGAGAGAAATTTATCAAGTCATGTATCTTTTCTATTACCATTCCCTGTTCATAGTGTTGAAAATGTTGGGGTATTTTTTAAACAAGTTTAGATTTTAAAACCAGCAAATGTTTTAGGTTTTTCAAAAAATTGTTGGTCACCTTTTGCTGCTTTCACCTTTTATTTTTATTATTGATTCAAAAACCTGTAGTGCAAAAGGGATGTAGCATGGAGAGGTTTTTTAGTACAGAAATGTGTATAGAAGTCTTGTCATCCGGAAGTTTGCATAAGATTGATTAATGGTTTGCCTCTGTGCTTGATCGTTGAGATGAGAAATTAGTTTGCCTCTGATTATAATTCTGATGTAGCATGGGACAGACTGAGTAGGATCATCCCTTTCTCTTTGTTGAATAAGTTTGTTGCTTAACTTGCTATGTACTTAACTTTTAATTGGCTTGGAAAAAAAAAAAAGATTTCTGAGCTTTTAATTATATATATATTTTTTGCAGACAGGAAGTCCTACTATTGGACAATGAGATTGCCTTCAATGAGGCTATTATCGAGGAGAGAGAACAGGGAATACATGAAATTCAGCAGCAAATTGGCGAGGTGAATGAGATTTTTAAAGATCTCGCTGTCCTTGTCCATGAACAAGGAGCTATGATTGGTTAGTTCTATCTTGTCTGGGAACTGAGAGCGAATTTCATATATTTTGGCTCAGTATCATTATAAAACATCCCTTTTCCTTGCTATGTTACAGATGATATTGGCTCCCATATTGAAAGTTCCCAGGCTGCAACAGCACAGGGAAAATCCCAACTTGTGAAAGCTGCAAAGACTCAAAGATCAAATTCGTCTCTGGTAATTTATGGCACCTCATTTATTTATTGCCATTTTGATTATCATCATTATTGTTGCTGGTGGTGGTGGTGTTTGTTTTTGTGACCAGAGTAAATTACGGATTGCTGACATGCCTTGTTTGGACACCTCCTTTTTCGTTTTTCACTTTTTGCCCCTTCTTTCTTGATTCTGACCTTTTCCCTTTACGTTTCATGTTTAGTTGATTGGACACTACCCGACTATCCTACAAGGGATTTGTTATCTAAATGCCATCTGCATTTTCCAGTTGATAAATGCATTTTCCTTTTCATAGTTCAAGAATATGAGCTGCTTTTTTGATGCAAAATTATTCCATTGAATATTGATGAAAGAAACTGTATATTGACCTTGTTTCAAGTAGGGGATTTTCATTGTAGTTGTCGATTCTCCATGATTTAACATGTTATATTCACAATCAATCCTCATGTCTTTAATGCAGGCCTGCTTGCTCTTGGTGATATTTGGGATCGTGATTCTCATTGTGATTGTAGTACTTGCCGCCTAATCCAAAATCTTTCTTGATACAATCTTTGAATTGTTTCAAGTGCTGCTTGGCAACAAGAGAGTAATCTCCCTGCTAATTCCTTTGGTTATGTTTTACAAGACTAGGTGACTGACTGGAGTGTCGCACTGCTAGTCAGAGGTGGTATATATTGTATGATGTCTGCACATGATCATTTTGGGAGTTCTGTCTGGGTGGGGTGTGTGTTTGTTTCTATATTCTGCTGCCTTGGCTTTACATGGGTGTGTGATGGTTTGTGCAATTGTTTCAAGTTCTATAGTAATTTAATAATTAAAACATTTATTCTTTTGTTTCCAATCGTTTGCGTATAATCTTCTTTCTACAATTTTTCGCCACATTAGTGCATCCTCACTGGCTTGCTTCCTTTTGACAATAGGGTAAATATATCATCATCTAAGTGGCAATGGTGCCCTTGCAGATAGCATCGGTCTCATTAAATTGCCTGACGTCAAATTGTCTAATGTTGTAATTCTTGGATCTTCTTTAGTCATTCACGCTCTTATGAAGTATTTATTTCTATTTTTAACCGACGGTAATTCGAAAATTACGGTTCATTGGAATTCATCATCAGAAATTTATTCGTTGTCCATGTAATGGAGCTATGCCTTGAGCAAGGTGCAAATTGCTGTCTTTGAACCTCGCCTTTCCAGACTTTGGTTATTATTCCTCAAAACTATTTCGCAGTATCATTTGCATGAAAGAGGTCCGTTTGATGACAGTATGCTATTATTGAAACGTCAATTGGCTTCTGAAAGTTTAAGAAGTGATTCTTGGTTGGAATTTTCTCCTGTCATTTGTTGTCCTCTTAATGGACGAGGGAGTACCCGTGAAGTTTGTGTATTGTATTTCAGTTGGAGGGGGTATGATGGCCAACTTCGGAAAAAAGGACAAAAAAGGGAAGAAACCTGGTTAAGTAACATGGGTAATGAGTACAAATGAGTCCATTCCAAAGCCAACGGGCCAATAGGTAGAGAGTGATAATGATGTCACCTCCTTTTGATGGCAGGAGAACTTTGTATCGTGGGAAAGAGCCGTCTTAGGGAGCAAGGTAAGGTACAAGTTGCTAGTTGTTCTTGAGGTCTTCTCTGATCTGTCAGGATGAAGGCCTGCCCTCGGTAAAACGATTGAAAAAGACAAACATTGGTGTACTTAATCTGAATTGCCTTCGCATTAGTTGTATGGCTGGCGTTAAAGGCCCTGTTGATTTAATTAAGACCTGGATATATCTTGGCAGTCAGTATCTACTAACAATCCATGAAAGAATTACTCCTGTCCTGAGGTGTTTTCTGCAGTTATTTGAAGCAACTATAAATACGATTACTTCTCTTTATGGAACATTTAAGTAAATTGTGAAAACGCAGAATAAAGATTTGCAGAAATATAAATGGATGGTAATGCAGAGTTGCACCTATATAAAACCATGTGGAAAAAACATTGCTTTGTTACCTGTTTTTGTGTAAACCTTCTAGAATGAGTTGGTCAGTACAGTAGCGCTTTTTTGGCAATGGGCATACGCTTATTTGAGCAAGCAACACAGCATGATAGCAAGTATGTCATTTCTGCCATTCCTTGACTAGATATTCCAAGAAAATACTTGTTGCTCCACAAACCTTTCTACAAAATGCTACCAAGGCAAGAATTTATAACAAAACTATGATTCTTTCAAATTGTTGCACGATTTACTATCAGAATAAAAGATGGATGTTACGACAATTAAAATAGTAGATATAGAGGCTGCTAGAAAAGTAACAGCAGATACAATGGCAGTATGTGCTCTTATTCCAGAAGGTATTCTCCACACAACATCACCGGCTCTAGATCCTGTCCTGTCATTGGTTGGCATAAGCAAGCAGCTCTCGTTGTCCCCATTTCCTTCCATGCTGCAGCTTAGGAATAAATCTGGTTCACCAAATTCCACTTTTGAATACCCACTATCATCCAGGGGCTGCAAGGGAGAAAGAGAGAGAGAGAGAGACTTCAGACAGTTTCTCGACAGCTTTATGATTGCTCATTTTATTATTGCTGTTGCAATAACACAGCAATGTCCTATTCTCTTCAAAACAATTCACTGTCTCCTTTCACTTACCGGATATCGCGCATGCAATGGAAGGTCTACACTGATTTCCAGTTTCTGTCTCAACAAGGAAGTGGGACCAACATTCATGTGAATCTCAACAGCTGACCGATTGGAAAGGACTGAAGGCAATTCCAAATTTGTATCTCCAAAAACAGCTACATCAGCAAATACTGCAGTAATGGAGTAAATGCACATTAGACCAGAGAAAAATGCAACAATAGCTCAAATTTCAAAATGGGGTACACAGAAATCATTAAATGCAAGAAAAATTAACTGTACTACCACCACGCTCGAGCAGTTGTTGGAGCTCAAATGGGTCAGCAAAGACTCCTGACGGCAGTCTCTCAATAATGATAACTTTACAAAAGTGAGTACATAGCTGAGACATGGAATCTGGCTGCATGTGGAATTTGATAGTTGACAATATATGACGATGAGAACCTTCACCACTCAAATGGCGCTGTGGAACTGATACTCTTAAAAGATGATTCAGATTATCTGGCAGCAGCTTGCACGAGCTAAAATGCAGTTCATCCGCAATGAAGTTTTGGAAATTTGATTCAAACAAGCTATCATAATTTTGAAAATAAGATTTCATAAAATACTTCCTGAAACTATGTTTTGCATGGTTGGAATTGGAATTGGATTTTGACTCCCATCTTGCGCCCTGACAATTAAGGATACAAGTTAGACAATAAAATGTTGAAACTTTGTTGCATGCATGGTCAAATTGAAAGGCACTGTGAGATGAGGCCCTGCAATTGCATTTTAATTTTCTCATAAATATGTACCATCAAAATGGTAAATGTATAGATATTGTCGCATGTAACAACTGTAGTAGGTTAGTTGCCAACCAAAAAATAAACACTTTATGGTCATATAGGGCATGGCATATTGTTGCTTCTTGAAATACTAGTCCACAGCCATCAAGTACGCATCTTTAAATTCCAGAAAGTTACAACTTACAAACTGCTATGCAAAGCATGATGTGTATCTATGTGTAACTCAACGTACAGCATGATGCTTACAAGAGCTATCAAAGCATGGATGAGAAATATCCACAGTAACAGATATGATGAAGAAAATTCAAGGTATAAGCACTAGGGTGTACCCACCTCACTTGAAGATGAAGAATCCTGCAAGCAAAAGCCAAAGCCAAAAAAGAATATCAACAGGATTCCCACCTTCTGGCAAGTGCAAAACTGAAAATGATTAGGAGTTTCCATAGACAACCTGAAAGAGTAAAAAAAAATGGAATAGAAGTTGTAATTATTATGCATTCAATACGTGGAAAGAAAACATTCCCATATTTACGTCCAAGTTAAAAGCATACTTTCTGCTCCTTTCATATATATATATATATATTCAAGGAATTTAGAGACCCAGTCCACAAACATAATCTTGCCAAAAATTCAGAACATAACAAACAAAAGGCATAATTTCTTTCACTATCTACCAGCAAAAAGTCGAGTCCCAATTGCAGTCACACCTTTAGATGATCAATGCTAAAATGATCTTGACGATTCATCAAATCATAACTTCTTTAGACAAAATGTCACACATAAAAACAAGCACATCTGTGCGATGGCCCTATATGTAAGTAGCACACAAACACAGACATAAAAGTGTAAACAAGTCTATAGACATGTATATCCTTACCAAAAATATAAGAAACACGAACAAGACAAACAAAAATTTCAAGTATTGGCTCAATTTTACACCATATTAGAACCAAACTGAAAGTTTCAAATGTTCGATAAAGGAAATGTAGCATTTAGAATAAACAGGGAAAAACAAATTAGTAGATTGTCCAATACAAGACAAACTAGACCTATCCAACACCCAGAAATTAGTAGTAGAGAAAAAACTAAGGCAGCAACCATTTTCTTCAGTCATTGATTCTCACAGTGTTTACAATTGAGATGGTTTTGATTAGTGCAAAAATCATGCAGCAGTTTCACTGCATTTTATGATTAATAAACAAATTGAATATAACTTAATAGGTGATTAAAAAAAAAAACAGAATCTAATTCAATAAAGCAAAAAACATTACTTATGCAAAATATGGCTAAAAAATACAGCATTTCTATAATAACCTGAAATAAAAAGAGCAAAAACGATGCACAGAAAGAGAAAGCAAGTCAATTACAGAATCATGAAGAGACTTAGTAAATTGCCAATTTGAAGCTTCTGCTCGCAGCATTTGAAGACCCAATAGAGAGAGAGAGGAAGAAATAGATCTAACCATCTATTGAGATGCAAAATCCTTTCGGGAGAAGAAGACTAGGGCAACACAAGCTAGAGAAAGAAAGTGTAACCCCCTGGATCTGAATTGAAAGCTGAAATATTAATCAGTTTTTCAACGAAATATTCTGAGATGGGATCCACTGTTTTTTTTTTTCCTCTCTAGATCAAGAAAATCAAAGTCAATTATTTATAATGACAGAGAAGTGGGCTTTACGGGCCCCTTATAAGCCGCAACAAAGCCCATAAACAACTAAAGTTTATTATTTTCATGATTTGAAGAAATAAAGTTCCCTACTTTCTACTTGCATCTCCTTTGTTAACCCCTCTCTCTCTTCTCTCGGCTTCTGAACTTTTCCCGCTCAGTAAAGTAAACATTTTTTAGCAAAGAACAGAAAGAGAAAAGGGAATGAACAGTACATCACCAGCAAATTCATCAGTATCGACAACAGCAATTATTGGAGGTGGAGGAGGAAGTGTTAGCAATGTTGCTTTGGATGATTTTCATTTCCCTTCTGATTCCATCCAAGACCGCAAAGATGAGGCCATGCTTGGTTTGTTTTGCTCTCCCTCTTTAATTTCAGTTTAAAAATCTCTTCTTGTTTTTGAAATCTAGCCATATGAGTGGTTGTAATATCGCATGATCTATGTGAATTTTCAATTTTTTGGTAGTGGATTTTGGCATTTTTTTAGGAAAGGTCGCCCCCCCCCCCCCCCCCCGGGCCCGCTCGCGTTCATTTCCCTTCTGATTTAATTTCCATTCAAGACCGCAAAGATGAGGCCATGCTTGATTTGTTTTGTTCTCCCTCGTTAATTTCAGTTTAAAAATCTCTTCTTGGTTTTGAAATCTAGCCATATGAGTTGTTGTAATATTGCATGATCTATGTGAATTTTTAATTTTTTGCTTTATCCACCACCCCACCCCAACACCAACACCAACACCCACCCACCCACCCCCACCCAACCGCAACCCCCCCCCCCCCCGCGCGGGCCCTTGAACAAATGAACAATTTTTTGTGGGTTTTGGGTTATTATTATGGAAATTCATTGCTTTTCTATCTGGGTGTTAGTGTTTCTGCATTCTGTGTTGAGTTATGGACATGTGGCTACTTTTGTGATTATTTTATTCTAGCCATCAGAATCAGTAGCTTTCTCATTATATTTATGTATTTAGATTGCTACTATGATCTTTATGGATCAGCAGTTTTATATGAACCCCATTCCTATGTGATATCAGAATCGGTAGCTTTCTCATTATATTTATGTGTCTAGATTGCTACTATGATCTTGATATATCGGTTTTATATGAGCCCCAGTCCTGTGTGATATTCGTTTGTTTGGAGCTGATTTCACTGTGGTGTTTTCCTAATGTAGTCTTATATGGGTCCTCTTCTGCATAATTTATAGATTTTTTTTATTTTTTTCTCTGTGGTTTAGTATACATGGTATCGAGATGTTGGGCTTATTCATGAACTCGTTGTCCTGTTGCTATGAAGATAAGGGGAATGAGATTTATGTTGAACATAAATTTCTGAAATTCATGTTGCTCATTATGAAGATTGCATCTTAGATATGTATTTACTTTTTAAGGGACAAATGGAACTCATTGACAGAATAAGTTTATCATCTCACATTTTGATCATTTAAATATACGACTAAGCCAATTGAGTCCATTAGTATTGGTGCAACGAAGGATTTAGTTTCTTTTCCGTCAAAAGACAAAAGTTTATATCTTTAATTTGAGTTCTTTCATCCAGCTTACTTGAACCACATTAATTAGCCTGTCTGTTAAGTTTTCTCGTTTCTAGAGATACTTTTGTTGTTAATGGCCCTCTCAAGTGTAGTCTTACTTGTATATATGAAATTCAAGGGCTTACCTTTTCGTATTTGTTCTTACTTCACCCATTTTGGTTAGAACCAAGACAAAGAACGAAATATATTTTGGAACTTTGATGTTCTGTTGTGTCTCTAAGAGTAACCTTTGTAAGAAAACAGGAAGGCCCCAAACCCAATCAGTGAAACACCCACAAATTTAATTACTATATGTATCATCACAGCTGATAGCAAATGAAAATGAAGTTTTTATTGTTCATAGAATTCTTCTTGTTCTTCTGTTGCAGCACTAAAAACTGATCTGATGGCTGCACTTAACAAGGAGGTTAAATCCTTGGATGAAGATAACTGGAAGTTTGAAGGACCTCGTTCTCGTATCAACCTTATATCGAGACCAGGTTAGCCTTCAATCCATCTGTTGCCTCTACTTTCATACTCTTTCTCCAATTTATGTTGGGTAAATTCTAGCCGCAGATAATCCTGGCCTTTAGTGATTCATTTGCCATCCGTGTTTTTGTCCTAGAACCGTATCACTTCACTGTCATTTTCCAAATGACAGTGATGTCAGTGCTTCATTGTGGTGGACCCTTGGTAGCATGCCTCTGCCATCTGTCTAGGGGTCATCTAAAACATGCTTGAAAGATTGGCAGATAGCTTTATTAGATGGGATAATGGTGGCAGTGGGATCTGTGTTGGGTTTTCACATCCCATGATCATAACAACTCATGATGTGTAAGGTGGATTTTTATGCCTTGATCTCCCAATTAAAGCATATATAAAAGAGGAAAAAATGGTCAAGAGGGAGAAATAGTTTGTCAAAAAGCTCTAAGCTTAGCTCCTATGATTTGTATACACAAACACAAATATCATACTTTGTCTCCGTGACAGGTTGGTAACTAGGGTTTCTTCTTGCTTCTGGACAACAGTGCATAGATGAAGTGTTTGTGGGTGTGTCTGTAAACTTTTTGTAAAATTAAATAATTAAATCACCCTGGCTGCTTCCCTATATATTTTTTTTTAATCAGGAAAAAAGAGATCATTTACGCACGATGGATATTGGACCAAGAACCAGCCTTTGTTATTACTTCCACTTGTATTCTCTTGCCTATCCCTTATATCCTTGCCTGTCGAGTGCTTTGACATATGTCCAGGAGCATAAAAGAAATATTGAACCCTCTTTTGGAGATGTTATTCATTTTTAAACATGTTAGAAAATTATGGAAAAGATATTGAGTATCCAATCTGTAACAGTATCCCCCTCGTATAAGTATCCTTCTTTGTTTATTTTTCTCATACTTTTTGTGGGATCTATTTGAATCATGTAGATGAAAATAAACTATGATCCTAATGCAGGTGGATTTCTAAGCAAGAAGTTGGAAATAACAAAGATTAAGAACTTGGCCTTGCCGAAATGATTTGTAATTCCTTCGACAGGCTGCATCTTGCATCAATTGACTGTTGGTATATTTTATTAAATTGATGGTAAATATCTCTTCTTTTGTTCTGGACTTGGCAATTTATGTGTTGGTAGCCCCGTCACCTGCGTTATGAAATGGATTAATGGTTCAGGATATTCTTATGTTGTTTTGTTTGTCTTAATGGTGTCTTTTGACTAAATTTTTCATTAATGTCATTCTTTGATATTTACTTTGCATCTTAATTTCATCTTTTTGTCCAACTTTTTAGATAACGCTATCAAATTTTGACAAGATACGTGCAAGATTTTGATACGTAATAATTTTTTTTCTGTTTGATTTTTGAAATTAAATAAATAAATTTCTGAAATTAGAAATAAAAAATCCAAAATGTGCCCCCATATAAAAACCCAAAATCCCCAATTAAGTTTGAATTGTCCCCTGCCTAGCCTCCCCCTTCGCCCATTGCCACCATCATCTTTGTCCTTTACAGCATGAAAATACGGAAAAACGACCCCATAGCGTTCTCAAACAAACTTTTACACTCTCTTTTAGAGCAACAAATCCCATTAATACAATCTTTTAGAGGTAAATGGGGTTTGATGAAATCCAAACTCGCTGATCTCCAAACCCAACTTGCTGATTTTTCTGAGTTGGAAACTGCACTCACCAACCCACTCTCTCTAGATCTCCTTCGCTCTATTTCACAAACTCTAAATGATGCTCTCCTTTTTGCTGAAAAATCTCAAGATGCAAACTTGACTGAAGGGAAGCTTAAAATTCAGAGCGATATTGATTCAATTTTAGCTAAATAGAATCAAAATGTGAAAAATTGTGAGATTTTGATCAAAAGTAGGGTCAAGATGGGATTTTATCTGGGTCTGGATAAAAAAGAGCTGTGTTTAGGAATTCAATAACTTGGTTGCAAATAGGGAGTATTGAGTCAAAGAATGCGGCTATGGAATCGGTTTTGAGTTTGATGCAGAAGGATGATAAGAATGTAATTGCTGTTGCATAAGGTATTGTGCCTGTTCTTGTTAGATTACTTGAGTGTAATAGTTGTTTTGATAGTAAAGAGAAGAGTGTAGCTGCAATTTCAAGAGATTCAATGGTGGTGGATGGTAGTAAACATGTTTTGATAGCAGAAGGGTTGTTGCTTTTGAATCAATTGATTAGGATTTTGGAATTAGGAGAATGCAAGGTCAATTGGGTCTAGAGGTGGGATTTGTTCATTATTGGAGATTTGTCAAGCTGGAACACCTAGTTCACAGGGTCTTGCAAGTCGAGTCCTGAGGAATTTGGCTGTGTTTGATGATATTATAGAGAATTTTATAGAAGATAATGTTGGTTTTGTTCTTATTGGGCTTGCAGCTTCTGGAATTGCATTAGCTCAAGAAAATAAGAGAGCTGGCGTCCAGCCAAGCTACTGTGGGAGGGCTTGTTTTTGATGGGTTTGTTGTTAGGCTCGTGGTGGTGTGACGGGCTACCGCGATGGTGGTAGTGGGTGAAGAGGGAGGTTAGGCAGTGGAGGATTGGAGATTTGGTGGTTTTATATACGCGTGTGTGGGCGCGCATTTTGGGTTTTTTATTTTTATTTTAGAAATTTATTTATTTAATTTTCAGAATCAAATAGTTTTTTTTTTTTTTTGCTTATGTGTCGACATCTTGGGCATCTTTTGGTGAGATTTGATGTCATTATATGAAAATCTATACAGAGGGACAAAATTAAAATAAAAAGTAAACATCGAGAGATGATATTAATAAAAATTTAAATTAAAAAACACTATTAAAACAAACAAAACAATAAAGAAACATTTTAAACCATTAACCCTTTGTGAAATGCTTCCAAATAAACTTGTTGCCTGTACTACAAATAAATTGGAGGCAACTTGCATTTGTTTCTTTCACATTGAAGTTGCCAACAAGCATGCTCGTAGTTGGCAATAGTGCAAGTTGAAGAGCGTCTGATGATCGAAAAAGGTCATTCCAAAAAACCAATGCTCTTAATTGCACCAGGATTCGAGGAAATAGAAACAATTATAAGTTGATCGATAAATTCCAAGACGAAAAGAGCCAGTGTTGTTGGCCTGCTAGTGATTTCTTCGCTTTGTCCAAAGAGACTGGGCCATACACCTGAAGTAGATAGAGCACATCAACAGTTTTGTTTTCTTTGATTGTAAATTTTAGGTCTATGGTTATGAAATTTCTTGTTTTTTGCTCCATGCAAAAATCTTGGTTGAATCAATCTTGCAACCGAACTCTATGCTGCTGCTAAACACAAACCTCGGATTTACAGTGGAGAAGGGCTTTCAGGACACTAATTGTACCATAAACATGGTCCAAACAAGCAATTCAAGAAAAATATTCAAACAAATCACAAGGCAAAATATATATCTATATATTATTTGCCACAGCCCCTGGGAGAAAAAAAGTGTTAAAAAAATAGGTTTTGTTGCATAAAGTCTCAAATCTTGCAGCTCTTATGGTCCCTTGTGTTCATGCTTAAGAGCCCAATTGACAAAAAGAGGTGGACGGATGTAAAGGAATTAAAATTAAAGCAGCTACTAAAGGTGAAATGTTTTTACTTAAAAGCAAATATAAAGAAAACAAGAACAATTATCCGAAAATATATTTTATAGTGGTGTGGGATTACTTGTAGGCCAAAAAAAGAAAAAGAAAAAAAGAAAAGAAAAAGGAAGTTAATATGCTATATGAAGTGTTTTTATTTTATTATTATTTTAACCTTGATGAATGTGGCGTTTGGAAATCGAATTCTCTTTTGGTATCATGATATTAGAATAATGCAGAGATCTCCGGTTAGGAATTATGTGAATGAAAGTGAACCTATCACTAGTCCTTAAACTTTTTATGCTTTCATGGCATTAAAAAGAAAAAGAAAAAAAAATGGAAGAAAGAAAGAAAAAACGGATTCTGTACTCTCCAATACATTGGATTTTGACAAGTATTTGTGTGATTAATTTGCCATTGCCAAAAGTCGTCCGATTTGAAATTATCAATAAAACTAAAGTAAAACATGATTTTATTATTCGTTAACTATTTGAAATATTATTCAATCAGTTATAAATCATTATTTTTTTCACTATTTATGATATTTTTGTAACACTTTTATCCTCATTTTTTCTATATCTTTTTTTTTCAATTTCAAACTTTAATTGTATTGTGATTTGATCTCATTTTATTTTAGTATTTTTTGTTAATTATTTTTATTATTTAAAATTTACTACTTTAATTTTTTATTTTTTTAAATTCTCATTCGATTAATTTAAAATTATATGTATTGATAGTTTTGATTTATTTTTCTATTTGTATGGATTTTAGAATAAATTTTTAGAACATGATTATTTTTTCTTTTGAAAAATAGATTTAAAAAATTTTTAAATTATAGTGGCATGATTAATATATATAATTTTTTTGAAATACATTTTTAGATTAACGAGTGTATTTCAAATAATTTTTCTCAATTTTGTTATATTATTTTAAATTTACTACATTAATTTATCTTTTTTTTAAATTCTCTCTTCTTTTTTTTTCAATTTTAAACTTTGATTATATTCTGATTTGGTCTCATTTTGTTTTAGTATTTTTCTTAATTATTTTTATTATTTAAAATTTACTACTTTAATTTGTCATTTTTTTTTAAGAATTGTCATTTAATTAATTTAAAATTATAGTTACTCGATAATTTTTATTTATTTTTCTATATGTATGGATTTTAGACTAAATTTTTAGAATATGATTATTATTTTATTTATTTTTTTGAAAAATAGATTTAAATCATTTTTAAATTATAGTGGCATGATTAATATATATAATTTTTCTGAAATACATTTTTAGATTAATTTTTTTTCAAATAATTTTTCTTGATTTTTTTATGTTATTTAAAATTTACTACATTAATTTGTCATTTTTTAAATTTCTTTTTTTTTCAATTTCAAAATTTGATTATATTGTGATTTGGTCTCATTTTGTTTTAGTTTTTTCTGTTAATTATTTTTATTATTTAAAATTTACTACTTTAATTTGTCATTTTTAAAAGAAATTCACATTAAATTAATTTAAAATTATATTTACTAACGAGTTTTGATTTATTTTTCTATATGTATAGATTTTGGAATAAATTTTTAGAACATGATTATTTTTTCTTTTGAAAAATAGATTTAGATAATTTTAAATTATAGTGGCATGATTAATATATATAATTTGTCTGAAATACATTTTTAGATTAAAAGTATATTTTAAATAATTTTTTCTCTCGTTTTTATTTTAAATTTACTACATTAACTTATCATTTTTTTTTCAATTCTCTTCTTTTTTTTTTTCAATTTCAAACTTTGGTTATATTGTGATTTGACTTTATTTTGTTTTAGTATTTTTTTAATTATTTTTCTTATTTAAAATTTACTACTTTAATTTGTCATTTTTTAAAGAATTGTCATCTAATTAATTTAAATTTTTATTTATCGATGACTTTGATTCATTTTTCAATATGTATGAATTTTAGAATAAATGTTTAGAACATGATTTTTTTTTTTTTGAAAAATAGATTTACATAATTAAATTATAATTGCATGATTAATATATATAATTTGTCCGAAATACATTTTTAGATTAAATTTTACTTTTAAATAATTTTTTCTCGATTTTTTTGTGTTATTTAAAATTTACTACATTAATTTGTCATTTTTTTAAAACTCTCTTCTTCTTCTTCTTTTTCAATTTCAAAATTTAATCATATTATGAGTTGGTCCCATTTTGTTTGTGTTTTTTTATTAATTATTTTTATTATTTAAAATTTACTACTTTAATTTGTCATTTTTTAAATTCTCATCTAATTAATTTAAAATTATATTTATTGAAAATTTTGATTTATTTTACTATATGTATGGATTTTGGAATAAATTTTTAGAATATGATTATTTTTTCTTTTGAAAGATAGATTTAGATAACTTTAAAATTATAGTGGCATGATTAGTATATATAATTTATTTAAAATAGGCTTTTTTTTCTCAGTTTTTTTAGAAAAAAACTCAAATTAATTAATTAATAGTTGAAAGTCAAATTAATATTTTTTTTATTTTAATATTATTCATTCTTTTGTAAATAAATATATAAAATTAAATTCACATTTTTTTCAAAATCCGATATTCTCATCAACATTAAATAAAAAAATTATTTGTTCAATACTATGTAAGCTTTTACTAATTTTTATTTATGTTTTTCAACACAATCTTATGAAATACTAAAACGTTTTTAAAAATTTTTATTTAATTTTCTTTTTAGTTAATAATCCATGGATTAATAAGGAAAAATCCTTTTTCTAAAGGAAAAATTATGAAATAGTTAAATGCAAAATTTTTGATTGAAAAATTATAAATAATATTTCACTTTTGATTTCATATATTTTTATAGATTCACACTATAAAATAGGTTATCGAACTAAAATGATTTCTTTAAACGATTTAATCTATTTTATCTAACTCGTAGCGTAGTGTGAGCAAAACAACTAGTATATAGCTATATACGTTTTGCAAAAGTTGTTGTAGGAAGTGGTATATCTCGCTAAACCGCATGCACACGTGACAAAGTTAAATGCCCGCTTGTAAAACATTTCTCGTGGTTATGGGTATTCATAATTAGGTTAGCTAATATAATTTTCCATTAACACAAATTCCTTGTATTATAGAAGAAAATTTTATTTTTTTTTATTTCCTTTTTTTCCCTTCAAGTAAAAGCGTTTTTTCTTTTTTAAAAAAAACTTCCTATCATCAATTACATGGCATTTTTGCTACATTATACTCGAAAGAAAGTTCAAACTATCCACGAAACTTATTGGAGCTTTAACCACAACAATAAACTACTCACTAAATAAATAAAAATTATACCATGGATTTTTATCCAACATTAATTAAGTAATTTAATTAATATTATGATATGCTAATTCATGTTATTTTTGTTTTGGTTTTGACATGAGTTCAAGTTACACAATAAATGGATTGGATTGAGAATGAGTCTTATCTAGTACAAAGTTTTGGATCATACAAAGATAAATATGAGTATTTTAGTAGAACCAATATCCATGCTTTACTTTTGTGGCATCAAGGAGATCGTTTAATGGGTTCAGAGTAGAGTTTGTTAAAAAAAAAAAAACCCAATTGTTACTTTTTTTTTTAATATTTGTTAACAAGTTGAAGCAGCTTTAACCGAAAAGAATCTATTTTTCTTCAACTAAAATCTAACTATCTAAACATGAATGACGTGACATCATCCTAATAGTCAATGACCATCCTTATTTTATTATAAATGCCAACATCATAGCAATTTCCAAAGGATTTTAACTTTTAAATCTTTAACAAAACCACCGAATTATCTTTCTCAAAGCTTCTTATTCTAATACCAAGCATCACTTAAAACTCGATATATTAGGACTTTGACCGTCCATTTGCCTACTATTTGACTTGTGCCTTGCTAGCACTGTTTTTTTCTCCTCCCACTTCTCTCACTACTTGCACCAATTTTGCTTCCTTTAATGACCATTACTTTTACAATTCACAACATTAACCCTCTATACTTTGATCGATATGTTGACCCATCTTTGACTTGTTCGAAAAAACCCCTTCTCATAGTTTTGGCAACTCTACCTAGAGAGTTAGTGATTGTGAAAGAATGATAGCCAATCCTATATATATATATATATATATATATATATATATATATATATATATATATATATATATATATATATATATATATATATATATATATCTTGAAACTAGCTCAACCACTTGCAATAATGACGATACCCCGCTTGATCCTAATAATAATGCTAAAAACACTAGCTTGCTCAACATGAAAACCGACAACAATCCTTAAAAACCCCAAGTTAGGAGTGGCAACTTGCCAACAATACCGAGAAATGGCTTACCTCGACCTATTACTCGGATTCCTACCACAGCTTGTTACACATCTAGTCCGTTATACCATGAATGAAGTCTAAAATATTTTTTAGTACACTCAGCTCAAACAACAACAAGAATAACGATAAGTCTTTAAAGTCCTCTAAGATAACAATATTGCATATGCCCAAACCCTTAATAACGTCATCCAACTATTTCCTACAAGTAGATTATCCCGGACTATTGTTTTTCAAATTGTGATGTCACTAACTATTAATATAGAAAAACAATCCAATACCACTTATTCAACTAAATGAAAAAGAAGACATTCCTCCATATCGTATGATCGTGCACAACCACTAATTATTTCATCATGCTATTTCTTTTAGCGATCAATAACGTTATCTTATTAAATAGGACTTAAAAAGTTCTTTAAATAAAAATTGACTAGATCCATTGGCAAGTATGACCTTAAACTTCTTTATTCAACCCATATTGTTACGAGGTTTTATCCGAAGGACTATGAGAGTTTCAAGTTTAAATTTTTTAATGAAAAACAAGTGGATGTTAATAGGCATCTTTGAAGTTCATGAGGACCTTAGGTGTTTATGACTATAATGATGTTATGAAGGTGAAAGAATTTTTTTAAGTTTTTGACTAAGAAATCATATTCGTTGGTATATGAACTCGACTCTAATTTTGTTCAAACATGGGTAACCATGAGAAAAATGTTCATTGAGAAGTTTTTCTTCACCCATAAAAGGAAGACCATGTTTGATTTGGGATGAGAATATCAATGCTTTAAAACAAGGTTGCTAGAGTTTATTGAATAGTTACTAAAATCTATTGAACAGTTTTGCAATCATACACTCGGATGTCCATGATAGTTTTGATGAGAAAAAAAACTATTAAAATATATTTTTAGGATATATATAAAAATTATATAATACATCTTGAGAATTTAAGTTTGACCATTTTTTCTACTACAAGTACAAAAAGCTCTTTAGACCAATAACTTCATGATTTTTTTAAAAAGGGACGACTTTGCTCCTAATGTTACTATTATCAAGAAGGTTTTTTTAGTAAATGCAATATAAATAGATGAATGACCTAATAGAAGAAAAATAAAGGTAATTGTTGAGCTGCCACTATTGTAAGTGAATCAACTACTACCTTTCTCTTGCATAATGTATATGGTCTTGCTCCGTTAGACCTTTTGGTGGCTAATTAAGTTGTTATTGTTCTTTGAATGAAGAAACTCCCATTCAAGAGACAAGACAAATGACATAGAGTGTGGTATGAAGATTCTCACTAGGGCAAAAAAATCTCTAAGTCAATTAAGTTTAGGAGATTCTTTTTCTTGATGGGCTAAAATTCACGTTTGTTAGGATAAGGATATCCTTAACATTATCTTATAACAAGACAAGTTTTCTATTTTTAATTTTTTTTTTTTTTGTTTTGGTTTTATCCCGATCTTGTGTAAGTTTAATTTTATAAGTATGAATTAGTCTTGTATGGCCGACCTTAGACTAGTATAAATAGGGGCTTAATGCTTATAGAGAGACACTCTTTCATGTTTTTTAGAATTAATAAAATACTTGAGAAGTTTCTCTCTAAAAACATGAATCCTTATGCATTATTGGGCATTTGTTCTTTATATACCCGACTTGATCAATCAAGATGGGTTATTTGATCAACTAAAACCAAACCTAAAAAGCATAGTACAATTATTAACCTTGGTAAAATGATCTTAGGTTGAATACTTAGTAAGATTGTAGTGGAGTTTGTGAAGAACTTTACCAACATCAATAAAACTAAGATCCTTTCCATTAATTACAAAGTTTCAGCCTAATCTTTAATGTTGGAACTTCAATGTCATTCATTATTTCCAAGGAACTCATAAGTTTCTTAGTCTATCAAGAGACTAAGATTACATTCTAGCATCAAAGAAAGGTTAGGAGTTTTGGGCTTGTCTAATTCTTCACGAAAATAGTGTCAATAATCTTAAGTATTATCAATACCATAGATACGTAAGGCATTCGATAGAAAAATTATTGCCATTTGAGATTTTTATTTCATAACAAGCTGAACAAGAAGAGATTGTCCTTAATAATAAAGATGACATGTAAGAAAATCCTTTACCATAACAACCAAATGAATACCATTTTTCATGACCTATTTGAGTTAGAAGAAGAAGAGTTTGACATATAAGTTTACTAGGTTGCTTACAACTACACCGCATTCTATATGAAAGAAGTAAATGAGATTGATGATTCAATTGCATAGTCTTTATTGAAGACTCCAAGTTTTTATAATTTTTTCAATCTCTTGAGCTTTGATGAGGAAGCCAAAGAAGCAACTATAATGACCATTGCCTAGATATATAAGAGACATTACAATAAGTGTTTTACTATCAACTATCTAATGAAATAAATGGCAAAAAATTATAAGGATGATGTATTCTTCATCGATATTAATTAAATACAAAGAAGACCAATTATAACTATTCACTCTATATAAAGAGTAAGAAGAATGATTGTCCTATTTATAGGATCCTCATCGATGGTAGTTCCTCCTTAAATCTCATATTATTTTACCACCTTAAGAGGTTTATGTATTAATGAAAGATTTATGAATTGAACACCAACTACTATTAAAACCTTTAAAAATACTTCCTTCCAAAATCGAGGCTATTTTATGATGGATTTAAAGGATCATGCATTCTATGAAGGTGTAAAATAAAATAAAAGTTTTTTCTCTATCTAAGTGCTCTCAAGATCAAACCGTTGAATCAACTAATTATATATACATGAAGTAAAACATAAATAAATGATTACCTCTTGTAGCGTAGATTTAACCTTAATAGAAAATGAGTCGTCCAAGCGTTTAGCCTTTATCTATAATCCACGCAATCCAAGCACTCATATAAGAAGCACTCAAAAGTAATAGAGTGCTAACTCGATCGTTTTCTAATTTTTTAAGTGTTTTCTCTTAAGAAATCTATTTAGAGATATTTTGTGACAACCCAAAGAGAGAGGTAGAGAGGTGGCATATGTGAGGGAAAGAAGAAAATTATTTTTTTCTTATTTTTCTTTCTTATTTTTCTCTTAATCGTATACGCTCTAGCTTACCCTATCTCTTTGTCGCACCTCCCCTTGTATTTATAAGGGAAATGTCTTCTTTGTGCTCTAAGGACAAGGAAATGGTGACATTAAGTCCTACGAGGACTCTATTGTTGCTTTCTAATCCTCTAAGGATTAAGAGTTATTATGCATGTGGATTTTTTTGATCTTATTCGTTTAAACCTTGATTTTTATCCAATAAGATCCATGTTTATCCTCTCATCAAAATATCTTACAGTGCTTTTAATTAAATCTATTAGCCTAATTAATTACTTATTAAGATTATTCAAAATATTTAGGTTTGATATTTTTAGAAGGCCCACATTAGAAAATAATTTTTCAAATTATCCTTAAACTTAAATTAGAAAATTAATTTCTTTTTTAGGTAACTTACTTCTAAATTTGGAACCGACTTCCAAATTAGCAAACTAATTTCTAAGATATAAAAATTTTCATTTTAGAAAACTTTCATTTTAGGAAACTTTCCATTTTAGGAAAGTTTTCATTTTTAAAAAAAATTCAAAATAAAAAACTTTATTAATGTACTCCTACTATGGTCATAAATTTCTCGAATAGACATTCATCGAAGTAGAGTGTGATAATTAATGTAAATGGAATGACATGTCCTATCTTAGTCATTCACTTACCTCCATTAGATTCCTAGTATACCTAATAAATCACCCACGTGTAATCCATTACTTGGTTCATAGAAATGAGTGTCGAAATACATAAATCCTCTAATGAGACAAGCGTGATGACCTCAAGTCTAAGGACCACTCGTACTCATATCATATGAGATTCTTATAGACTAAACCAAATGGGTTCTCATAGGGATTCAAGTCCAAGTGATATGTTCTCTAACATAAATCACTAAGTGCTTGTTTTAGCGTCATCATCCTAATAGGTGTGAGATCTTCTACTGCTATTATATAACATGAGCATAACACTCATAAGTCTAACCACATGTAGTTAATGCTCATTCTTGATCATGCTACGAATTGGGACATTTAGTAATATCATTTCCGTGCATAAGTGTTTGACTCACATCTTTCGATCAATCACTAATACAAATACATATCGTATAAACTTTTATCTAATTCTATACAATGAATAAATGCAAATGATAAGAATTAATAGAAATACTTCTTTTATTATTATCAACATAAATAATACAATAATATAATAAGTCAAATCCATCCAAAAGGGTTGGATTTTAGGCACTTACATCGACATATCTTAGTCATCCACCTACCTCTATTAGATTCCTAGTGCACTTAACTAATCGCCCACATGCATTCCTTTACTAAATCCATCAAAACAAGTGTCAAAGTGCATAAATCCTCTAGTGAGATAACCGTGATGACTTCAAGTCAAATGACCAATTGTATCCATCTCATATGAGATTCTCATAGACTAAACCAAATAGGTTCTCAAAGTGAGTCAAGTCCAAGTGATATTTTCTATAAAATGAATCATCTAAGTGCTTGCTTTAGCATCATGATACCAATAGGTATGAGATCTCTTACTACCGTCGTATAACATGAGCATAACACTCATAAGTCTAACCGCATATAGTCAATGTCCATCCTTGACAATGCTACGACTTGGGATATTTAATGATATCATTTATGTGCATTAGTGTTTATCTCATATCTTTTGATCAATCACTAATGTAAATGCATATCATATAGACTCCTATCTAATTCTATTCAATCAATAAATGTAAATGATAAGAATTAATAGAAAAATTTCTTTTATTATAAATAATATAAAAAATACAATAATATAATAACACAAACCCATCCAAACATAGTTAGATATTAAGTACCTACACTAACACAATGATCATCATCTTATGGAGGTACGTAATAAAATAAAAAAAAATTCATCTAAAAAACCCAAGATCATGCCATTGAATCAACCAATCGTATATTCATAAATTAAACCATTAAATAAAGTATTACCTCTTGTAGCATAAATTTAAATTCTTTTAGTAGAGAAAGGAGTCGTTTAAGCATTCGACCTTTATTGATAATCTACACGATTCAAGCACCACACAAGAAACACTCAAAATTAGTAGAGTGCTAGCTCCACCTTTTCCGACTTTCTTTAGTGTTTTACTTTAAAAATCAAATCAAGGTAATTGTGTGACAACCCTAAGGGAAGGGAGAGAGGTGGCGTAATTTTTAAGGGAAAAAGCTATTTTCTCCTTATTTTTTTTAATGTCGTGTAACCTTAAATATTTTCTCTCTCGTCGTGTGTCTCCCTCTCTTGGTTCCATTTCATGCCCACCTATGCTCCTATTTATAAAGGAGACTTTTTTCTTGTTCTTTAAAGATAAGGAGGGGCGGCAACTAGTCTTAAAAAATACTCTTAGTCGTTGCTTCCTAATCCTCCAAGGATTAGGAGTTATTATGTATGTTGGCTTTTTGATCTTATCATTTAAAATATTCATCCTTATCCAATAAGGTTGATGTTTATCTTCCTACCAAAATATATTTCGTGTTTTTAATTAAACCTATAAACCAAAACTATTTTGGCCTAATTAATTTGAACTATCCAAATAAATTAAATTAGATAATTTTGGATGGCCCACATTAGAAAATAATTTTTCAAAATATCCTTAAGCCTAAATTAGGAAACTAATTTTCTTTTTAGGTTATTTATTTCCAAATCTGGAAGTGACTTTCCAAATTAGGAAACCGATTTCTAAAACAAGAAACTTTTCATTTTAGAAAACTTTCTATTTTTGAAAATTTTTCATTTTTGAAAACTTTTGTCCGGAATAGAAAACTTTCAAATTGGAAATTTTTTCCATCTTTACTTTTATTTTATTATGTTAATGCTTAAAATTATATGTATGACTCAATAGGCTACTAGATATGTTGACAATGTGTCAAGAATAAAAGACACCTATTTGATCTCTTGATACATAAATTAAGATTGACCTCTAACAAAGTATCACAATTACCCAATTTTCTATGAGGATAGAAATCTCTAGAATCAACTTTAGTATCAATCCATCTACAAATCCAACATTGTTCTTGGATAGGAGATCAACATTAAGAAGGTTACTCTTCTAGGTGAAATAGTTCTCTCTATCTTCGTTCAAGGGTTGTCTAATAAAAATCAGACCCGAATGATCCGAAGGATACAAATAGTATGGTGATTTAGTAGCAATTGCAATATTTGGCATATTCGCAACGGATACCAAGCCATCCTTATTATTGTTTGAAGAATCGATCACCATGGCAAAAGAGGGGGGGAAAAGCAGTTTATGAACTATGCTCGATATCATAAAGAATTACGAAATGAAATAAATTTTCATTGTATTTGATATTGCGTGCATAGAAGATTTATATTAATTATAAAGGGAATAAAATTCCTAATAATTGTAGCTAAAGTTTAGGACAAACAATTTCTAGTATTAAGCTACTCTCCATATATGTACATGAATAGAATCTATGATAAAATACAAAGATCATAATAATAAGATGCCTTTGCCGGAATTACTCTACTATACTGTAAAACTTTTATGTGAAAGAATCCTTGGAGCATGGGATGACTATGAATTTTCTTAATCTTACAAAAAGAGCAAAGAAAATCTAAACAAATTAATTAATAGAATCCGAGTGATATTTCTTGACAGAAGATAGCTAGCGTGTTGATAGTTAGCTTCATTATTAATTTTGTGAAAAAACCAAGAAAACCTTCTTCGTGTGTGTGTATATATATATATATATATATGCACGTCAAATAAATCTGTAACACCATATTGATAATACAGCTCCTGCAATATGTGCAAAACCACATCATCTTCGTGGTACGTATTTCCTACTGGTTCGCATCATCACTGCCATTGGCTCGAAAGTCTCCATTTCGTTATCAAAAGGAAATTCTTTCACAGCTTATATCCAAACCGATCTATATTGAGGTACTAAAATTAATAACATAAGGATCCGGATATGGAGAGAACAGAAAATAATTAAAAAAAAAAAAAAAAATGAAACTCAACCACTCAAAGCAAAATCAGCTACTCCTTGTCTAGATTCACACCCGACCTGGCTCACGAAAGGATGATCAAGAAGCTCATCCACGGTCCCTCTCTTCCTCCAGTCCTTCTCTAGACACCTCCTAACAAAACTTTGAATCATGCTGGATGCATTCTTCGGCATTTCGAATCTCTCCCCGAAGCATATAGCACACACCAATGCTGCCCAGTCGGGTTTCTCTCCACAACCAATCAACGGATAATGACCAACAAGGCACTCCAAAACTACCACTCCAAGCGACCAGATATCTCCTGCAAATCCATGATCGGCATCCCCACCCCATCTCTCAGGATCAATTCTTTCAGGGCTCATGTATGCACATGTTCCCATGTAAGTCTCATACGAATCTTGTTTGCCCCCCACAATAACCCTGCTCGCTCCAAAATCTGCAATCTTAACATCTCCTTTAGCATTTATCAGTAGATTTGAGGGTTTTATGTCCCCGTGCACAATCTGCATCTCATGGAGATAATGTAACCCGTTCAGAACACATTGTGTCACACCAGATATGACATGCTCGGGCAGTATTCTGCGTACACGCAGAACATCGTTCAGTGATCCTCTTTCCATGTGCTCCATCGCAAAGTACAAGTCATCCTCACTGTCAAAAACCGCATGGCACCGGACAATATAAGGTGAATTAACACATTTAAGGATCTCTGCCTCCCTTGCTGCTTGTTGGCGAATTAAAGTGGAGTTTTGGTCGAAACGGAGGATTTTCAAAGCAAATATGGAGGAGCTGCGTTTGTGCCGTACTTTATAGACCGTGCCACTATTGCCGTGGCCAAGAACCGCCAATTTTTCGAGGTCTGAGAGCTTTTCTATGTTCGGAAAATCTGGGCTAATGGGCAATGATAATGATGGCGAGTGGGTCTGAAGCCAGAAGTCAGCTGACGATGTCGGGGATGGTAGGGATAGACTTAGTGCTTGTTGGTGCCTTCTCTCTCGTACCACCGTCATTTTCAGACCTTTAATTTGCTTCGCCTCTCTTCTCTATACTCACAAACCCAGCAAAGGCAACAACTTAGCCTGACCGTTATATATACAAGCGATTGGAGAGCGTTTTGGGGCACACACGTGCAAGCTTGGCTTCAGGCAGATAACAAGTGGCTGTAGCAATCCCAACATCCTCGGGCGGGTGAGGTTTTTCTGGTGACGTCACCGCTAATCTCTAGCCACTGGCAAGGTAATTGGGTCCAGTTTGATTCTACACTGCCATCTGTACTTTCTTCTTAACTGTCAGTTTTATACTCTAAACTAATTAATCACTCAATTCCATGGTAATCATTAAACATGTGACTCTAAATTTTTTATCTTCCATCAGATAAGAAACATACATGTGGATCGTCAATGATTTGTGTGTGTATATATATATATATAGAGTAAATCAGAACTTTTTTGATTTTTTTTTTAATATTCAATGGAAGATGATTTTTTTAATATTCAATGGAATGATATATATATATATATATATATATATATATATATATATACAGTGTAGAAAACGATTTTATTCCATTGAATATAAAAAAAAATCGAAAAATTTGTTGTGATTTACTAAAACGAGAAAAACAAGTCCTAAAACTAGAGATTGTGCGGGCAGGGCAGGATACCATAATGATCAGTAACTGGGATCGTCAGAGACCGCAAGAAAGGTAAAGCCATGTAGCATCCGGATTTCCCTCAACTACAGTAGATGAATGCGGTGTGAAGTTACTGTTTGTTATGCCCTTGCAACGTTAAACATGATAACACTATAGTTTCGCCACGGGCATTTTATTCTTGGCCTTTCACTTTTTATGATTCTTAACGAGCAGAGCAACGAAGATCCAAGATTTTAACAGTAACAAATGACCAAACATCAGTTGAGGTGGTATGGGGTTGAATGCATCACAGGATGCCATGCACTATAAATCAACAACGTCGTCAGTTATAATTCTAAAAGGGTTTTTCTACCTGATAGGTATCCACTCAAACAGGATTTGGATACCAAGGATATTCCTCAGATTAGACCCCTACCAAAACCTAAACAATAAACTTTGTTATGCAAACGTACCGAACTTGAGAACAGATTCCTCTTTAACCAAGCATTGGGAAAGAAGCAGCATCACTCAGTAATATCACCAGGGGAAAAGAAGGTGACGCATTACATTTTCCAAGACCATCCAGATTCCAGACCTCCCCTACATAATAGTCATCCAGATTGGTCTCAATATGGTATATATATCCCCACCTAGCTTTGCTCCTCCGTAAATAGACCACAAAAACCACTGGAAGCACGTTATCCATGTGACAGGCAAGCAAATTAAGAGCATCCATTTCATTTAACATAATTGATTCGGTCATTTGCTCAACCAAGAGCAGCCTAAGCATCGTATACTTAGACCATGTTTCGGAAAGGCAGTTATCTACTTCAGTTCGAAATGAGCAAGGCCTGGTCAAACTTCTCAATTGCATACAATTACAAACTCCTACGACTAATCAGCTTACTGCATCCCGGTGAGAAACGCTCCCCAATCTTTAATTTCTTAATAATCAATTCTCTGTTCAAGGAGTTATACTAAAATCCCATCTGTCGGCGCTCTTAGTCCAAGAGCGTATCGAATGGAAGTACTGCTTCTGAGTTCTGACACCAGTCAAGCCATCCCTACTACTTTTCGATATTGCAGAAGATCAAGCAAAACATTTCCAACCAGTACACCCTCGACAAGTTTCTCTAAACTGCCCAAGACTGCTACCTCAAACTAAACTAAAAGGTAGCACTGACTAATTTACGCATATTCCATAAATGTAAAGTAGCGAACGGTCTACCGGCCCGGGGGGGGGGGGGGGGGGGGGAGGAAGAGGAGAGAGAAGAGGGACCACGAAAGTAAATTGCTTTGAAACAGAGGCTGCATTCCGGAATAGGATATGGCATGTACAAAAGATGGAAAATCAAAGCTGTGGACCACATAATGTTTCTTGAGATTTTGAACCTCTCACGAGATGAAGAGAGTTCAAATTAAAATTTTGAAAAAAAAAAAAAAAAAAAAAGATAACTTAATTTTAGGTCTCCATATGTGCAAAAATAAAACTATTGCTGAACAGGTGCCAAAGGCATTGATCGTTTTTCCACTGGCCGGAGGAGGAGGACCATCTGATCATCAAGGTTAAAAGTTCATCTAGGTGTTTACCTCATACAGTGAAACAATCAAACAAAGGTACATTTGGTGTGCAAGATTAAATATTCTTGCGGTCTGATGTGAGAAGCCCCATTTGTTCCGTCAGCTGATCCATATGCTGAACTTTGTCCCACTCGTTTGTAATTGACTGCCCATTATTTACGTTAGCTTTACCCTCTACAGAACTTGATTCAATATCCTCAGGCACTGGACTCTGCACAAGAAGGTCGTCCCAGAAACTAGAATTATCAAACAAAGCATCAATATCAGGATCGGGGGAGATGTTATCAATATCTATGGGTATTGTTCCATTAATTCCTAATGAAGCCAGATCTATGAACCCATCATTGCTCGTCTCTGGTTCCATGTAATCTTCACCAGGAATATCAGCAATACTTTCTGGCACCATTTCTGGCATTTGAGAAACCTGGGGCATGATTACATCTGCCTGAGGGATAGGTATGGAGGGTGCCCCTTCAGCTCCAACCAGCATACTTATATCCGGAAACTGAGATGCTGTAACCTTTTCAGAACTAGCAGCATTCAAGGAAGATTGTTTTTCAGATATGGAAGCCATAGGGCCCTGCGCTGAAATCCCTGAAGCTGCTGGTGTATAAGTGGATTGCCCTGAAGTTGGGGGGACCTCTTGAAGAGTCACTCCTGATGTGCGGCTTGAAGAGCTTCCACTGTCTTTTGCACTAGATGATGGTGAGCCATTGCCAATCAGGAAACCATCAAGATTGTTGTCATAAGATTCCAACCTTGAAGAAGCATCCTTTTTCATGATCTCCCTGAGCATTGCTTTGGCTGCCTCATTCATCAGAGGCTGATACTTCACAATCTGCCCATCAGGAGCACTGGAACCCTCCTCCTCAGAAACACCCTCCTGCTTGAGCCTTCGTTTTTTGTTGGCTTCTGTTATCCGCCTATTGCTTTCATTTTGCTGCTGTACAAACTGAGCCAGGAACCCTGGGCTCTGCATAGCCTTTGCCAGGAATGACATCATCTGTTGCTGACGCTGCTCCATCCCTTGAAGTCGCTGCACCATGGTTTGCAACTGGCTATCCGTGGACTGTTGCTGCTGCCTCAACCTAACAAGTTCTTGCATAAGGACATTCTTGTCCCTCTTAAGTCTCTCTACCTCTTCCTCAAGCCCAAATTTTCCAACCTCAACACAGGCACCAACAGATGAGTTCTGTCCATGTGGTTGTTGTGGCTGTTGACTAGCATGTCCATGGGCAGGTTTTCGGCGACTGATAGTCCTAAGGAGGTGCTTCTGACCCCTCAAAAATCCTTCATTGGCAAATTCCCAACGATCTGGATCAACCTTTCGAAAGCCCTGTCCGGAAAAAAGAGAAAAAAATATGCAGAAAGATTAAGTCCAAAAAAGAACAAAACAAAAACATGCAAATCACATGAATACTACACTGTCTGCTAACACATGGAAGGGCACAGCAATAGCTTAGGCTTGGCGTTCCAACAGTAAGCATTACTAGGGGATAACAGGCAGGGACTAGTTCTCCTTCAGCTAAAATTAATGGGTGGTTTAAATCCTTGTTGTTGCATAAGTGGAACACTAACTTCAAGGAAAACAGTTATCAGATGTGGCAGCTTACTATGGGTAAATGAGCATAGAAGCTTTCCTTGACTGCCGAGGAGTGTCAATCACTTCTTGGCTTGCCAAGGATAGAAAAGCAAATATTGCTAGTGCCAAAGGGTTTGAACAATATGAAGTGGCAACAAGGGGTGAGGTGAACATATTTCTAAAGGTTGCTTCCAATTGATCATGAGCAAAATCTCCGAGCAAATGTTTCCTGGTATTCAACAGGGAAATCATAGTGTAGTGTCATAGACAATAAGCTAGCAGTACCAGGTTTCTTTTGTAAAGTCAAAATGATACTTGATACTTCATCATAAATAATTCATCACCAAATCAACAATAACTGGGAAAAGATATTGCACATAAGAACAAGAGTTCAGCAAAAAAGTGAAAAAAATTGAGGAACCTCTCCTCTGTTGAGAAGCTGATACCCATAACACCATAGCTAACTGTAATAATAGCAAAAAACACTAGCCATTGCTGACAATTATATGATGAAATTAACCACACTTAATAGATAGTCACACAATAGCTAACAGGCATCATGCCATTTCACGACTAATTGCTCATGGTAAAGGCAATTTAGCTATGATTGGGAGTCCGATGTTCCCCTGCATTCTGAGAAAGCAAACTGCATTTCCCATTGACTTAAAAGGAGCACGAGAATTTCCTTGACACAATACCGACGGTGAAAGGATAAACTCTTGCTGAGTTTCTTCCACATGCAGCAAGAAATAATAATGACAGCTTGTCTAGATAGCTTTGTAAATTTTACTTGGCCTTTAGCTAGGTGTAGTTTAAATATTGAAATAAAATTAAAAAAGAAAAAGGCATTAATAACCTTTTTATCCTGTGTGATCAACATGAGCCACACTTCCATTTCCTTTTTCAGTTTCTGCTCCATTTGGTTGCTGAGAAAATGCAGGGGCAAGACCAATTATAATTTTAAACTTGTACACATCCATTCTTTGTCTCTTCTGACTTGATTGAAGAAATTTTCAACGTGCACAAAAACATAAAGTACTTGTAGTAATCACTCTGGAATAATAATTATTACAAGTACTGGTAATAAAAAAGAAATAAGTGCCAGTAATCGGAAAAAAAAAAAAAATCCCCTGAATTTCTTAGCATCCAATAGGAGGACTTACAAAATAAGAGAAACCTACGTTATCTTCAACTTCTTTTTTATAAAATTTTATCTCAGTGCTAATGGTTCTTTGATAGCACAATTAATTCCTTCCCAACCTTCAAAACGTATCCTCAAAAATTAAAAAAACTACCTAATTATCATACATAAAACAGTCTCATCCTAGACAAACCAAAACCATAAGCACTGATGGCTGATGCCTCAGTGACAGAACAAAGATCAGTCTCTTCTTTCTGGTGTTCATGCAACTACTAGCCAAGGCTATGCTGCTGCAGGAATTGTTCAATACAAGTAGCACAAGAGTTTCAAAGCAGGGAGAGCAGAGCAGCTAAAAACATTGAGTGGGTCACGAGTTAAATTAGATATTCACCACAATCAAATCACATCCTTCCAGTCACAATTTTCTCAAACTGAACAAGAATGATTACCTTTTGCAAGTTTACGAACCCCCATGCCAGTTATCTCACTGATCTATATAACATCAAAATCCATTGCCAGTAACTTAAACAGGCAAAACAACCACATTCACCAGTGAACACTAGACAGGTTCATTCCTCGAAATTGCCACATAGGCTTCCAACTACTTGTAATGAGCACCCCATTTTTCATCCCTCCATATCTTCAATGATCAAGCATTGTAATGAAAATCTAACTGGCAAACGATTTTCTCTAAATGAAAACGGTTCCCTGGTTGATAACAAATAAACACAAGTTATCACCATAGACATTCAACAATAATATAGCATCGTGAAAGGAATATCCCTTAGTCCAAAACAAGCTCATAGAAGATACCACAAACACGCCCCTTTCCTTCCCCAATGTTCTCGGGAAGAAATGTGTCAATTCTTATAAGAATCCGAGCCCTACTCGACATAGTAAATTGTGATCTACACTGAACATAAAACTAAGTCACAACTGTTTTTTACCATCCTAACGACAAGCAAATCAAACAAATCCAGTGAATACCAAATATCAGCAAGCAAACAACTGAACTGCAATTAGAGAAACAGAGTGACAAATCAAACATATTGTAAAAACTACCTAAAGGAAAATACATCAACAGATCAGCAAGCAAAATCCAATATAAATGAAGAAAAAAAAAGCGAAAATCCATACGTAAGTATTAAGTTGCCTGACAAAGCTGGAGAAGTTATTATGCTTGAAATACTTCGGCAAAAGATCGCGAGCGAACTCCGGCGGATTCCAAACCACAAAACTATTATTCGTCGAACTCCAAGACACCACAGCGTCGGTCGCCGGGTCGTCAACCATGTCGTAAGTCTTACTTAGAAACGGCGGCGGCGCATTCGACTGTGACGCCATCGGCACCGGCGCCGCTTGTGCTCCACCGCCGCTAGTTGAGGAGTCCCTGCCGCTTGCAGTTGTGATTGTTCCATCCATCAGAGTAGTAATTAATATCGGAAATGTTTATTGACCGGTAAATTGGAGAATTTTTAGGGTTTTGGAAGGACAGACATTGGTGAAGACATTGCCTAGATTAAAGGCGATGATAGATAGACAGGCGGAAAAGCGAGACTGTATAGGGAGATAAGGAGAGGTAGGGAGAGGTAAGGAGGAGACAGGTGGTTTTTATTGTACGGTCACGGGATCTGAAATGAAGAGTGGGATTTTATCAAAGAGGCAGACGCTACGGAGGGAAACAGGCACGAGCCGGTTCCTTTTTGCCTCTTTCCCTTTTTCGGAGGTGACGATAGCAGTTGAAATTACTGGTTTACTGGTGTTTGTTATAAAATAAATAACAATAACAAGAGAATTAAAAGAAATAACGATAAGAAAATAAAATTATCATAATATAAATATAAGTTATAAGAATTTTAAAGTTTTTTTTGTTTTTTTCTATAAAACTTATACATCAACTAATAAACAATCAAGCATATTTATATGTTTCAAATTTAAAAAGAGAATTGGAAGGACTATGAATAATCAATTGCATCATCCTTTCAATTTCTCATATTGAATGATGAATTGAATCATATTAAGAATTATGAGTAGTTGAGATATGAAAAGTAGATGAACATGATGATGGACATTAATTATTTCATAACACTCTCCCTTGAATATCTATTGTACAAGAAATATACCTCGTTAAAACCTTACTAGAAAAAAACCTAGTGGGAAAAAAATCATAGTGAACAAAAAAGAGTACAATATTTCTTATACACATTAATCTCAAAGTTAGCCTCCCCCGTTGAAAACATCATTTGAGATTTCTAAAACAATGCATTTAAATCTTGTGAATCATTTTCTCAAAAGTTATGGTAGGAAATGCTTTAGCGAATAAATCGTTGGATTGTCACTTTGATGTACTCTTCCTTCAATGGAATTATGTAAGCGACATTATCCTCATGTGATATTATTGAAACTTCTTTTGCTAATAGATAAATTACATGTCTCTTGGATATGATGGATCGCCGATCTTAGTCAAGCACATTCTCAACTTGCCTAGTGAATTGATATTTCGCATGATTTGAAGATATGACGGTTATAGTTTGCTTCATAGAACCCTAAGACATAGTTGTATCTCCATATGTAAATATATAACCGAATTGTGATCGAGCTTTGTGTGGATCGGATAAACAACCTACATATGCATAACTAATTAATCTTGTCTTTGATTTATTAGAGTAATATAAGTCCATATCAATTATTCCTCGAAGATAATGTAGTATATATTTAACTTTATTTCAATGTTTCGTATTGAAATAAAAATATGACTTGCTAATAAATTTATAGAAAAGATTATATCAAGTCGAGTATTATTAGCAAGATATATCAATGCACCGAGTGGTATTAAGATATGGCATTTCGGGACTAAGTAGTTCTTCGTTATCTTTTCGAGGTCAAAAGGGGTCTTTAAGATATCAAGTGAATGAACTGCTATCTGCGCTAGTCAATGAATGATCTTTATATAGAATCATTGTAGAACTTTTTCTATACAAATTAACCGATGAATAAAAATCTCATTCTCTAAGTGCTCGAACCGTAAGTCGAGATAACATTTTATTTTTTCAAGATATTTACATCAAATTCTCTTTTTAAATAACTTATGACCCTTGGAATCTCTTCGGGAGTTCTAATAATATTTAAGTTATCAACATATACAACAAACCCCTTTTCAAATAAAAATATATGAACAAATAGGGCTATTTTTTTTATAGCTTTCTTTTAATAATCATTGAAGTGATTATATCTCATACACACGAGTTAGTAATAAATAGTAGATAAAAATAAAATATAAAAAAGTATGATATAAATTGAATTTCTAAAAACTAAAATAATAAAACAAATACTTAAATAATCCTAATAAATTTTTATAATTTAATTGAATTCTTTTCTCAAGAATATGTATCACATGCTCCCGGCATGTTAAGTCATTCTAGGATTTTCATATTGATGTCATTTCAAATGAACAAATAAATTGTGATCACATTTAGTAAATACATGCATATGAATGTTTTTCATATATTTTACCGAGCTAATGAGATAAAATATAATTGCATCCATTATAGGAGACCATGTCTCCTCATAATCAATGTTAGTTCTTTGTGAAAATTCTTGCTTTGTATCTTACAATATTATTTTTCTTATTTTGTTTTTACATAAATACATATTTGTATCCTACTAGCTTAACATCTTCGAGTGTTTTAGCTATGGGTTCAAAAAAAACTACTCTTTTGTAAGAGAATATATTTTTTCCTGGATTGGTCATTTAGGCCAATCATCTTTATGTCGACATTCTTCAATAAATTTAGGCTTAGGATCCTTATTTTCATTCAAAATAAATATTAATTGCAATATTATATGCAAAAATCTTATCAATATATGTTTCTTTCGGTCCTATTTTCTCCATATATTGATAAAATTCATCAAAATCTCTTGATTTTTCTTAAGCATTTGAACTTCTTCTGAAGCCTATTATCGAAATATCTTGGACCATTTTGTGAATATTTTCATCTTAGGCTTTTCTTTTAGGGATTTTTGTCTTTAAAACCGATCGGTCTTCCACGCTTCGAGTGTTCTTTAGCTTCATTAGCTATAACATTAAAAGATTGTCCTTCTAGGACATCAATTCTAATAGGAGCATTCTCAACGAGGACATGCATTTTAGTTACTCTTTTAAGATATGAGAATGCATCTAGTAGTTGATTTGTAATACCTTGTAAATGAATTATCTTCCGAGCTTCTAGTTCACATTGATGTAAAGATAGAGTACTATATATAATCTCTTTTTTTTAACATTTTCAACTACTTATTTTGTTTATTCTCTCCCCTTAATGTTGAAAAAACTATTTCATCAAAATGACGAATCCATAAAGTCGTAAAAATATCACTTATTCATGATTCAAGATATTGAATTATTGAAAAGGATTCAAATCCAACATACGAATATACACTACAATGCTAAAAATTCTAAAATAAAAAATATTTGACTCATGACCATAAATCAATTGAAGATGAGAGAATTTCGATAACTTATGAGTCCGATGCGAATAAGTATTGTTGCATGTAAGATTGCATGTCCCTAGACATAAATAAGGAGTTTTATTTTGAAGTAATAGTTTAGCTATCAATTGGAGCCTTTTGATAAATGATTTTTGTTAAACCTTTCGAGTATGAACATGAGCAACAAGCTATTCAACTCGTATTATAATAGCCAATCAATAATAATTTAATGCTTGAGAAATAAATTCACTAGCATTATCAAGGTGACTTGTTTTAATGACATAATCTGAAAATTATGCTCAAAATTAAATTATTTGCTAGCAATCTCGAGACATTAGGTTTCGAGTAGATAATAAGCATGTATGTAACCATCTTATGGATGTATTTATTAAAATCATAAAATATTTTAATGGTTTACATATTGGATGAATTGATCCACATATATCACCTTGAATATATTCTAAAAATACCGAAGATTCAATCTCAATTCCGCTTGGTGATGGCTTAATCATCAATTTATCTTGACAACATGCAGAATATAAAAATTCATTAAATTGAAGAATCTTTTGGCTCTTCAATAGATGTCCATATGAATTTTTTTTAATATTTTTTTCGCATTATAAAAGACCCAGGATAACACAACTAGTCATGCCACATAATAAAAGTATTTGAATTAGTAAACTTCGGTTTACTATAGTATTTATTTTAATTATTTCAATATTTGTAACAAAGATTAGAAGAGAAAGCGAGTAAATTTTTCAATACATATTTTTCTATCCGGTATAATGATTATAATATATAAGTATTCACATTTGCTATCTTGATATGATATCAATTTAGATTAATATCTTTGAAACTCAATAAATTTCTATGAGACTTTGAAGAGAATAGTACATCATTTATAATACATTTATCCTTTCGGATAATAATAAATTTGCTCTTCTAGAGCCTTTAAATTAGTCACTTCAAGTAATAATATGTCGACTCTTCTAAAGCCTTTAAAAGTTATCTCTTCAAGTAATAATATATCTACTCTTTTAGAGTTTCAAAACTTTATCTTTTCGGATCATAATATAATCGCTTTTCTAGAGCCTTCAAAATTTATCTTTTTAAATAATAATATATTCGCTCTTCCGGAGCTTTTTATCAAATTGATATTATTAGATATAACATTAACACAAATTAAATAAATAAATATAAAATAAATAAATTCTTCATAAACACAAATAAATCAATAGTAAAATAAACTTGTAACCATCATTATACGATAGAAATTATAAGAAATATAAAACATCTTATTTATAAAGAGAAAAATTAACAATAATTAATTTCAATTACTATTATTTTGATATATAAAAGTGGCCTTCATATTTTACTCTTTCTTTTTCAATGAGGCTTGATAAGGCTCAATAAAATGCTTTGGTATACATGATCAATATTCATTCATTCATCCCACATATATAATATTGATTTTCAAAATACTAACTTGATCCTTTTTTTTCTCTTTTTCTTTTTTTCTTCTTCGTAATTTATCCGCTTCGGTGGTGAGATGTATTATTATAGTCATTATGATTATAATGATAATAATTCCAACCACGTCCATGGTTATGACCATATCTTCATCCATATCTAAAATTATTAGAAATTGTCACATTCACATCAAGGAATAGAGTAGATCCAATTGGACGAGATTTATTTTTTTTCATCAATAGCTTTTCATTTTATTTATCCACTAAGCATGTATAAAATCGATTCAAAATATTTATTAAACTCTTTTTCTCGATATGCTATCGCAGGAGCATATTCAAGACATAAAAAGTAGAGAATATTTTTTATCAAGCACTCAAAATCAATAATTCTTATTCAAAATATCAAAAGCCACAAAATCAAGTTTATGAGATTTGATATGATAAAAATTCTATAATACAATATGTAAT